TTTCTCTTTAATGTGTTTCGGACCCTCATAACCCTTTCAAATACCCTTCTATACATGTACACAAGCTTAACGTCGTCTGGGCAGGCCAATCCCGTAGGCTCACCGTCGGCACGGCAACAAGCACTATCCTGGCTAACATCTGCTGCACGACCCGGGGCCACTCAAAATGGGTCTTAATCCCCACACAGCCGTGTTGTGGGGGAAAACATTCTTTCCTTTTAGTGAGAGCGGACAAACAGGGACAAGCAGCGTGGCTGGTAACCTGCAGGCGACCGGCCTCTTGGAAGGACCAGGAATGCTGACGGTGACGTGGCCCCATTTGAGCTACGGCCCATTATGGCTGTGCAGAGGGCTGTGACCGCCAACATCCACAGCAAGGTAGCACTAGTGGTCCAGTTGGAGGGATTTGGGTTTTCAGGTTGATGAAAAGGTGGTGGAAACGGGTTGGGAGCAGTGGGACAGGAAGGGACTGTTTTAAAGACCAAAAATACAAAAAAAAACAAAAGCCAAAATGATAGAAACATGTGGTCCCTTACTGTCAACCGGTACGAGAGTTTTGGAGGCTGAAAGTAAGTGCTGAGATAATTTTGGTGATTGTTTGTTCACAGAAAACACAGAACAGGCTTCTTGAGTATGACAAATGCATAACAGAAGTTCATGTGGTAGTACATGTGGTATTTTGGTGCCACCTTGAGGCTAAAGCGGAGAATATGAAATAAAAATTGTTTAGATTAGCACAGTCTCCCATTTCCGAAACAAGTCATGACTTCTCATATTAGTGTTTGAGATAAAGATCTTGCTGAGAGATGACATGTTAGGGGAGGAAACAGAGACACAGTTCCATAGTTCATCAATCAGCCAATCAAACACTCAAACATATTGTGTCTTAATATGAAGTCGAATTCATCAGTTCCTGTTCACAAACAAATTACTTACATAAATACATTGGAGGAAGGGGTATAGAATAAATCGAGATATGAGATTTAACTGAAGAGTTGTTTAATATAAGGAATGCACTTATACGATACTGGCACTGGTACTGGCCAATACTGAAGAATGAGCTCGATCGGGTATTGGTTCTGTGATATTGGTTAAGCAGATACCCTGGTTGGCCCTTTAATTTGATGTAATAAGACTATTAACAGGCTTTATGTCTTAAAACATCTCATATGGCCTGAACTTGCATTCATACACTGGTGTTCTGTAGTTACTTGAAGAATAAATAACAGTTGCATCACACAGTTGAATCTCTTGTGCAGTAAGTTAACTGTGTTTATAAGTTATTTGTAAGTTTCTAAGTTAAGCCATTTTTTCAGCCCCTACACTGGTATTGGTTAATACCGGTATCGACAGTAAAGTAAAGTATCTATATTCGTATTGTAACTGAAAAAGCTGGTGCGATACATTCCTAGTTAGAATTCGGGCAAATCGTAATCATCTTGACTAAAAATCCCATAATGTGCATAATATTAGCTGACCCAAAGTATATGAAAAAAAACAAAACAAATATTCATACCAGTGCACCTACATTGCTGTTGTTTGTTGGAAGTCAACAGTATGTTATATTTGGTGTTAAGATTTGAGAACTCTGTTTGCCAGCATATTTAGCTATATGTACATATGATATATATGATGTATATATGATATATAATATATATATTATATATATATATATATATATATATATATATATATATATATATATATATATATATATATATATATATATATATATATATATATATATATATATATATACACATACCTTTCCATACGAGTGTTTTATGGCAATGAAAGTCTTATACTGACACCTAGTGGATGACTTTGTTATTACCATAAAAGCAAAAGAACAAAATAATAAAACATTAGATCAAAAAGGGACTAAACTGGCTGGTAGATTAAAAGGGAACATGAGACTCTAGGGGTGTGCAATTAATACAGATTTAATAGAGATAGAGATTCAGTCATTTGTAAATTGTCAACAATAGGCTTGGGTCATTTTTAATCCAGAGGTCTAGAGTCAATCCTGTCCAAAAAAAAAAAAAAAAAAAAAAAACATGGTTTGAAGCTAAGACTTTTACATTTACATTACAGTTTTTTTAGTGTTTATATTCAGAAAATGAATATTGATAGTGAAAGCCATTTGTATTTGTTTAAAAAAAATCTGAATCATATTAAAAAATCTGAAGGACAAATTTTGCTAAGGGAACAATAAAATGTACTTGAAACTGCACATTAAACTTGATATAAAAATCACATTGCCCAGCCCTATATAGGTTCTATTATTTACCATGTCATGAAGCAGTGCATTTGTGTCCATGTGCATCTGTGTATAGATCTGAGGCTGTGGGCTAATATCTTACCTGGTAGTGAACAGCAAGCATACAGCAAGCACTATTTAGTCTAGTGGTGGAGATAAGATGGAGATACTGGCGGCTGCGTAGGGCTATCGCTCCTGCTGTTGTCCGTGTAACAGGGTCACTCAGGTGCAGTCTACAGGGACAAGTGGAGAAGAAGACCACGAAAAAGAGAAACAGGAAGGAGGAGTGGGTGGAATAGAATGAGAGCATGAAATGGAAGAGGTCGAGCGGACAGAGGACAAGAGAAAGGTCAGTGCCACAATCATAAAACTGGACTTCAACATCTGCCTCTCAGCTCAACTCATACATCACCAAATTTGAATAAGGAGGAAGTGACATATTGCCAAAGGTAATATTTTACCCCTCTTCCTGATCCTGATAACAGTACTCAATACATAAGATATTTTAACAGTCCAATAGAAATATGCTGTCTTTAATAAAAATAATAACGCATCAGTTTTATATAGTGCTTTTCTGGACACTCACAGATGCTGTACAGAGCATTATTAATTCACTCTACACTCGGTGGTGGTAAGCTATTATAGTAGCCACAGCTGACCTGAGGCATACTGACGGAAATAAGGCTGCCAATCTGTGCCATTGGTCCCTCCAACCATCACTCACGCACACACCATTTTCATACTAGACAATGTTAGAAATTGCCAAAAGACACAACAGCAGTTTTTGTGACTGGCGCCCCACTTTGGCACCTGATTTTCCCAGTGGCCTCCCATCGAAGTCCTAACCAGGCCCACCCTTGCTTAGCTTCTGAGATCTGACAGGATCAGGCTTTGACAAGCTGGTATGGCCACAGGCTCAACCATATACCTTTAAAGGTATATGGTTGAGTATCGTATGAGATTTAAATATACAAATGTGAAAGTATTGTAAAATTATTCAAAACATGCTGATTCTTTATTATCAATATTATTAATAATTTTCTGTTAATTCAGTGTTCCTTCATCTGATATTAATTTAGTTAAATGTAATAATTTGATATGATGTTGCCCAGAACCAATAATACAAGTGTTCTTCAGAGAGCACAATGTTGGAAAATATATTACTGACATATGCAACTTGAATTCTATTTTTTGTTTGTTTGTTTGTCTGTATATTCTAATACTTTACATGAAAAATAATATTTGTATATTGACTGGCCACACCAGCTCTGTGTCAGTTGAACTCTGGGTGGATAGGGTCACAGAGTGAACTGTTTTTACAGCACACATAGAATAACTCCAGCCACCATGGCAGAGGGGCTCCAGATATTATCAGGTGCTGGTGCTGTTTTTTTTTTGTTTTGTTTTGTTTTCAAAGGGATTTCCTTTCTAACAACTAACTACAGCTAATCTCCTCATATCACCCGTGATGGGGACGGACAAACAATGTCAAGGTCAATGCAGGTTATTTTGTTGTATATATTATACAACAACTACTGTATGAAACAATAAACAATATAGATGAGGTGGAATGCTTGCTGTTAAAAACATGGATACCATTGATCTCTTCTTGGAACTATTGTTATTATTTTGAATGTCTGCAATACATCACACTACATAACTCTGGAGGTGACACCACATCATATTTTGATGCATTATGAGATTGTACAGTAATATACTTTCTAGGTAAAATACTTGGATTCTTTGCCTTTATCAAGACTCCAATGCCATACTGAAAAACATATAATAAGGCGGAGATCAGAGACACAGCACCGGGAGCACCCACACCACAACAGTTTTGTTGTTTGAGGATTGTCTTCCTCAAAAACATGCAGTACAAAACATCAAAGAAATTAATCAGTCCCAAGTACTAAGTTATTAACTTTTTTAGAATTTTAAGATAACTTTTAGAGTACTGACATAACTTTTTATAATAGTGGTAACCTGTATCACTTTGTAACTCTTCACTTTTTGATAGTTGGTTATGACTTCATGGCTTTGGCAAGAGCTTGGTGTAAAGTGAGAATAGTAAAAAAAATTATATATTACCTAATAAAAGGCTCATTACATGGCTCAAACCAATGCACTGAGAATAGTTTGCGCAATAAATCCAGGTGTAGCATAGATATTTGCCAACAGTGTTTGGGGTTGTTGTGCTCCTGTCAGAGTGAAATGGGTATGCTTACCTTCATTTCTAGTATGACAGACATCATTCGGCGTTTAAACTGAGGCAATTTCTGCAACATAAATGGATAGAAGTGGAGAGAACGGATTACTAAAAAAGAATATCTTAAATACTTATAAAAAATATGATAGCCATACCATAGTATTTGAACAAACACCCATGAAACTTAACACTACAATGGCAACGACAGTACCCATGGAAGTAGCATGGAGCGTTAGCTAGTTTGCTGGTTGTCGCCTAGCAACTAATGCTACAATGCTAATTGCTAACAGCCTTATTACTCTATGCTCCTGACACCGTGGGCTAGTAAAGTACATAGAAATCAATAGGTAAAGCTCTTGTAAACACGCGCCTTTTAGGTTTATGCTATGTGATGCCCTTAGTACAATCAAGATCAAGTAAATACGTGTAAACATTTATCTCTGCTTTATGAAAAAATATAGGAACTACAATTACCCAAATCCACCAACTGCCGTCAATCACGGAGAAGTGTCGCAACACAGTAAAGCCATAAAACTAGATCCATGAGTAAAGCAAGGAGGGCGAGTTCAGTCAAAGCAGCAGCAGTTCTGCTTCGACGTTTCGGATGACAGAAGGGCTGAAGGGCTAAGACGGGTGCATATTGAACATGGTAATTAAAGCTATATATTGCATGGTGTTACAAATTGCTTTGTGAGTTAGAGTAGCTAAAGCGTAGTTTTATGTCAGTACAATAGTAATATGCTGACAACCTGTTACATGTGCTAAATATCTGTACAGAAAACGGTCACTACCAGAAACTGTTCAATCAGCTGAAATTGACAAACTTTCACACATTTCAGTAACCCTTTATTCGGATTTATAGTTTAAATTAAATTATTGCTTCTGTCAAGACTTAAATTGTCTTATGTAATCCAACGTTAGCTACTCACTGGCATGGGGTCTATTTTTATTCTGCCTCTTCTGTAGCACATCCCATTGACTAGAATAGACCCTTTGAAAGGGCAACCACAGTTGTCGTTCTTTTCTTTATGTATTTATTTTAACACTGTGTGTTACAGGCTGAACCCATTAGAGTCTTGATAACTGGCGCTGCTGGTCAAATTGCATATTCCTTGTTGTTCAGCATCGCCAAGGGAGATGTGTTTGGCAAAGATCAGGTAAAAGAATGACTAATGTCTTACACAACTTTTGTGCAGTTATATCCACTGTACAACTACGTAAAATGCTTGTCTTCAAGTCAAGGACTATACCCTTAAATTTGACTTTTCAGTGTTTGCATTTAGGTTAATTAAATCAAGCCTTACAGTGTATGTCCTTGAAGTCATGCCATGTTGTGAACTGTGCCAAGGTTAAAATTACTTGATCTTCTTGGCAGTCAGAGCAGTTGGCCTGGTTGGTTCAGATATCACTATTAAATTTTCCATTGTTAAACTGCTTGTCTTTGCTGATTTATGATTTATTTCTGCAAAATCAATAATTGGATTGAGGGTCATGATTACTAAAACTTATTAAGGATACATTTTACAGCCAATTGCTTTACTCCTTCTGGACATAACACCCATGATGCCAGTTCTTGAAGGAGTTGTCATGGAGTTGCAGGACTGCGCTCTTCCTCTTCTGAAAGGTAAGGGTTTTGTTATCTTGACTGATTTGTGCATTCACTCAGTGATAAAACTAAGTGATTGAAACTATGTATTTTGGTTTAACCATTATAATCCTATACCTTTGTGACTGTTGGGATATCCTTTGCTTTGTTAGAACCAGAAAGTGGGAGGCCCCAGTATTGACTCAAAAAAAAAAAAAAGTATCAAAAAGTGAGCCCCACAATGCAACACAGCTACCTGCTTTTTTATGTTTGTGTCGCATATGACAAGTCGTTTGAAATCTATTGTCTTAAAGTTTAAAAAAAGTAATGTTTGTTTTTTTTTCTGAAAGAAATTGTTGCAACTGATAAAGAAGAGGTGGCCTTTAAGGACTTGGATGTAGCCATCTTGGTGGGCTCCATGCCGAGAAGAGAGGGCATGGAAAGGAAAGACTTGCTCAAGGCTAATGTGGCAATTTTCAAGAGCCAAGGAGCTGCACTGGATAAGTATGCCAAGAAGACAGTAAAGGTGAAAAATGATAGTAATCAATTTAGAATAGTTTGAAATTAAGTTATATTAATTAATTAACAGAACAATTCAGCTGCAGCCAATATGTGTTCAGTGTTTTTAAGATATATATTGGATCTCAATTCGCAGGTATTGGTTGTGGGAAATCCTGCCAACACAAACTGTCTCATTGCAGCCAAGTCTGCACCCTCAATCCCTAAACAGAACTTCTCCTGTCTCACCCGTTTGGACCACAACAGGGCTCGCTCTCAGGTATGTGTGCATTTAATCTACCCATCACTTTTTTATTTAAAATTGTATGATGACATCTTACCTAATTCAGTCTTTCCTACAGATTTATGTTTAGACAATACTGGAAATCTTAATTTATGCCTAAATATAAAAGACTGATAACTGACAACAATAGCCGTAAAGTCTTAGATTTATGGAGCATGGGAATTATGCCTTGACCCAGGCAACCTTCACAAACACTGCATCTTCTTGTTGGTATATAAGGCCATCGACAGGAGTGCAAAAATAAACCAAGATGAGACAAATTATTATAGCTCCAACATGCTGCATTTCAGATGACTTGTCTCTCCACAGACCTGACACTGACTTAGTATGGTGATAGAAAATTACTTAAGAACATTCATCATGGTGGTTGGCATTTTTTATGCCATATATAAAGCAATAACATCTCCATAGAGACAAGCAGGTGGTGTGCCCTTTTTTTTTTTTTTGCTGAAATGTTATGCAGTAAGGCTTTTAATTATTATTTTTTATTATTTAATTAATCATTGGATTTATTTAGTGCCTTTCATTAACCCCGACTCTGTGGTGGTCAACTATCCACACCTGAATGGGATTACATTTGTCTCATTAATATTTACAAATACACAGATGGTGTGCATGTGTTTTGATATCCACAAATGCAAATTTAATATTTGTAACTTGTATTTTGGTATTTACAAATATATCTTTTTTCATTTGCAAAAAAAAATTGCATTTGTAAAACTGAAAATTCTGTTTGTAAAATGTGATTCGCATTTGTGGCTCACCAGAATCCGCCAATTTCCGGTTTGACGTAATTTTGAGACGCTCATTTTGAGAAATCCACAAACTCAGACAGATCCTCAAATACAACTACGTACTTGACCAACAGGGGGCAGCAGCTGGCACACGAAACATTTGACGCTGCTGAAATGGAAGCGTCTCTTGTTAACTTAACGTCTGAATTGAACCAGAACTGAACCAGGACTTAAACAGGTCTAAACCAAGCCTAATCTTTGACTTGAGAGAGGGAGAGAGAGAGGGAGGACCCCGAGCCGCGGAGCACGGTGTCCGTAAAGCGCGTTCGGGTGATGTCTGTGTTTAGCTCCGCGGGGCCCGGAGCTCTGAGCCGGTCCTTTCGCTCGCGGTCACCCGACGGTCTCCGTGGGCAAAACTCCAGATCATTTAGACACTCGGTTCTGGTTTAGTCCTGATTCAGTTCTGGTTTAGTCCTTGGCTGTTGAGGCGTTTGATAATGTAAACATTAGCCCTAAACGTTAACAAGAGATGCTTCCATTTCAGCAGTGTCAAATGTTTCGTGTGCCAGCTGCTGCCCCCCGTTGGTGAAGTACGTGGCTGTATTTGTGGATCTGTCTGAGTCTGTGGATTTCTCAATGAGCGTCTCAAAATTACGTTATACCGGAAATCGGTGGATTCGTGTAACTGGTGACTCAAAAATGCGAATCACATTTTACAAACAGAATTTTCAGTTTTACAAATGAAATATTTTTTTGCAAATGAAAAAGATATATTTACAAATACACATATTTGTAAATACCAAAATACAAGTTACAAATACTAAATTTGCATTTGTGGATATCAAAGCACATATACAAATCACTAACTATTTGTAGATCACCATCTGTATATTTGTAAATATTAATGAGACAAATGTAAGCACATACACCTGCCCTGGGGAAAATTAACAGAAGTAAAGCTGCTGATTTACACCATCAGTCTCTCTGACTACCACCAACTCACACGCACAGACCACTTTCTTACTAGGCAATGTGGGTAAAGTGTCTTGTCACAAGACACAATAGCATTTTTTGCCACTGGTGCCCCACCTTAAATTGTGTTTTATCATTTAGACCTTGCCAGCTGATCCAGATGATGATATTCTGACGATCATATGAAATGTTATAAAATGCAACTAAAGCATGCTAATGTCATGTTTGAGGTATCATACAAATACTGGTATACTGTGCAAAACAACTATTTTGCTACAATCAGTTTTTCATTATATCCTGTCTATATGTACATAGGTGGCAATGAGGTGTGGAGTTCCAGCCACTCAGGTGAAGAATGTGATCATCTGGGGAAACCATTCTTCTACCCAATACCCTGATGTGCACCACTGTGTTGTCAATGTGTCTGGGAAAGAGCTGCCATGTTTTGAAGCAGTGAAGGATGATGCTTGGCTCAAAGGAGATTTTATCGCTGTCAGTTAATTGAACTAATAGTCTGAATTTAACAAGTTAAAGAAAAACAACACTTTCTTAAATAATGCATATTTACAATAGAATTTTGTTATACCATATTGCAGACTGTGCAGCAGAGAGGTGCTGCTGTCATCAAGGCCCGGAAGCTGTCCAGTGCCATGTCTGCAGCAAAGGCCATCTGTGACCACATGAGGGAGCTGTGGTCAGGGACTCCTCAGGTAACTCTTTTAACAGTTTCAAAGTGCATGTGGCAGAATATTGTACATTGTTTTAGTTCATGAAATAAATACCACTTTCTTATTTCAGGGGGAGTTTACATCAATGGGTGTTTACTCTACTGGAAATCCGTATGGTGTTCCAGATGATCTTGTCTACTCATTCCCTGTCCATATTAAGGTAAGATTAAATTACAATTGGGAATATGCTATATTTAAATAACTAAGTAACATATTGTTCCAAAAAATAGGACAAGCTTTGGAACATTGTTGATGGCCTGGCCATCAATGACTTTTCTCGTGCAAAGATGGAGGCAACGGCAAAAGAACTGATAGAAGAAAGGGATACCGCTGTGGAGTTTCTGGGCGTATGACTGCAGTGTGCAAGTCCACCTGACAATCACTTAGACAATAAAGCACCAGACGCACGACTGTGACATACACTCCAATACCTTTGAAACATTTTATGTGTACACCACTGTGAGCATTACTGGTGGTAATTCAGGATTAACCTGGATACACATATTTTAGTTATAGTTTAGATTTGATTTAATCCCAAACATGAAAAGGTCACCAGTTCCAAATCTATCTTCTGTTATAACCATTGTAAAAAAAAAAAATACCTTTCCAAACACTGTTACATTTAAATTTTGAATAAAAAGCGTAAGATGAGACAAAATAAATAAATGTTTGCACTGTTGCACATATGCTGAAATTTCATGAGAAGCTTTTGACTGGTAAACCTGATAAACAATGTCTACATGTATTCAAAAAGCACAATGAGGTACTTTTTGGCTGGCCAGAACAACCTTCCTCTCTTTTCATTCGGACAGTTCCGATTTTTACCACTATCTGGCGGTAATGGCTCACTGACTACGCTTTATGAAAAGCTTTCGCACTTATAGCACGAATGTTGATGGTTGATATTTACCATGATACTTACGTACATATATGTATAGCAACAATGGGAATAACTTCAACAATAGATGGGGTAATTTGCGCTACATATTTCGTAATTTGGGAATTCGCAAGCCAGGAAATGTCGGACGCCTAATCAACGTAGTCAGATTCTATTGGTTGGTTAGAGTTGCGTCACAAACATCTCTTCGGTGATTGGCTGGTGTGCTTCGAGCAACACTGGCTTCAGCTGTACTCTAGTTTATTTTTGGAAAATTACAGAGTTTATTCAGTTTTTACGATTGTTAGTTTTTGTGTGGCAAAAATATACATACTAGATACATTAAGTATTTACCTTTGCCATTCAATGTGAACATCAAGCTCGTTTAGCGTGTCCCTCTGTTTTATCTGTGGGGCTGCTGTGGTCATTACGCCCGCTGGACAACTATCGGCTCAGCTACACTTTTTCTTTTCCTCTGTAACGCAGTAAGTCGTGATTTTAACGTGCTTATGTTTTGTTTTAGGATTGTGCTGTGCCCAATGCGCTCAGGTTGAGCACTGTGTTGCGTTAGCATGCATCGTCTTGTTTTTTGATCAGCTACATTCACCCTAAACGCCAATTCTAGGGAAAGCATTTCGGATCACCTTCATAGCTACACGATGATACAAAATACGCAGTACGTAAAAGATGCTGGCACTTTTCAATGGCACTGCCCGTCTATCTCTCTCGTCCATCTAAGTTTCATTCATTTCCGCGTGGAATTTTTCTGATCTGCGCAGGTTTGTGATGTCAGTGTTAATAAATGTCCACAGTGCATTCCACAGACTGAAACTGCTTTGACACACCGACTGCGTGGCAATAAAGTGCTATCCTTGAAACGGTGGGCCTCAGTGTTCATAGGTTGAGTGTCTAGTTTTGTGACGTAGTTTACAGTGACCAGGCTGGCAAATGAGAATGAAGCATTAGTAGATCTTGTTTTACTATGTCCGCACTTATAGTCTACACTTGTCACTTTCACATCCACTGTAATCTATTAGCCGAGGACCTAGACAGGACGTATCATCAATGAGTGTGTTTCGAAAGAGGCGTACTTTCTGCTCCAAAGGAAACATTTTAGGACTTTAATTATTGTTGGTGTTTTTGTTTTTTTTGTGAGTCAGATGTTTTCATAAACTTCTATAAGGTGAAAAATGGCACTTTATGTTCAAGGTAAGTGTCATCTAATTTTTTTGAACGGACTACAACCTAAATTGCCTACATTTTTTAGACTTTCACTTTTTAAACTTTGTCTCAATTAGACTACCGTTTATGGTTTGTTTTGTAGATACAAATAGGCATTTTTGTGACCATGATATAGCTGGACACATTTGCTTTTCTATATCATTGATTTGAGGTACAAACACGCTGCTTGTGAATTTGAATAACTTGTTATTTTAATAATTTTAATATTTTCTTCTATGAATGCTTTGAATAGCAGGCAACTGCCATGCCAGTCATATGATTAAAGATCCGCAGGTTGATTGTCATGCTTTGCTCTCAGACAGTCACACAGGAATCACAAACAACAATGGAATCACATTTTAGCTAATGGCTTTGACATGATTTAAGTCAGTACGTCCTTGACTTTCAAGTTTTTGCCCTGTCAGCCGCATACACGTTACTTTAAAACTGTGGATTGTCTTTGGGCTTCTGGAATAGATAATCTCCACGCTGTATTGAAGGTGATATGACAAAAGCCAGTCGTTCTTTTAACACCAAGTACTACCAAGATAATATTACTGTCAGAGAACCACCAGATATAAACCTGAACTATATTTCAGAGCTAAATAAAGGCTAGTTATGGTCTAAAATAAGACCTTAAGGACCATAGATAATTAATCATTTATCCAAATGTGCACACAAATATCAATAGATTTAAAACAAACTTCAGAGGTTCTCCCACCCCGAACACAATGCAAAATGATGCGTCTATTGCAAATTGTTCATTATGTTTTGCTATGCAGTATTTTAAACCTGCTTGTGTTTCCAGGTCTAAGTAAGGGGGCACCTGATAACGGCATGGCACAGTTCCAGGAAATGATGCGGCAGCAGCTGGAGAGCTCCATGCACACCGAGCTGGGAAAACTGCTGGACACTTCCAAAGGGCAGGAGAAAGAAGTACGAACAAACTTTCTGTGACTCTTCATGTTTGTCTTTGGGAGCATCTGGTAATGTTTAAGAGGGTGGTCCCACAAAATGCCTTAGAAAACACTGGAATGACACATACTGGAGCACATTGCCAGTTGAGTTCCACCTACATGATCAGTCATTACCGGAAATGTATGTTGCAATGGTGTCATGTGTGGAAATTTGTAGTAAACTTATACAGCCATTTGTCCTAGAGTTTTACTGTGAACTATGTGCCAATATGGTTTGCTGTATAATTAGTGTTACAGGAGTGTACAAATAAAGTCATACCTTAAGTAAACACTATTTTCACATAGTGTAATCATGTGTGGTTGTGTGCTACTTATCTACTTAAGGATACTGCATATAGTACATCACAGACTAGGTTGCGTTGCAATATATTGCTACACAAAATATCTCTATAACCTATAAAATTGAAACTATTATGCTGTTTGTTTGTTTTTTTTATCTTATTTACAAAAGTGGATGTGTAAAATGGAGGTCAAGAGGAGTCTGTTTGTTACAATAATACATGTAATACCTTAAGTAGTTTGTCAGTAGTCATAAAACGATGTAAATTATTCAACCCTCAACATATCAAATGTTTATGTACTACAGAAAAATAAGAGAACAGTACACACTATGAAACTTGACATAAACGGTGTCAAAGTGATTACTGTATCTACTAGTATTAAGATTTCATGTAAAATGTATAAAATATTTGACTCTCAGGTTACTAAAACACACTATTTTTATATATTTTTTTAATCTCTTTCCAGGTAGCTACAAAGGACTTTCAAGGATTTGAGAAACTTTTCCACCGATTCCTACAAGTCAAGGGACCGTCGGTGGAGTGGCCCAAAATACAAAGGCCTCCAGAAGATTCTGTAAGATATTTTGTTATTATCATTCATATTTCCCGTAGACTGTTCGAAAAATTCAAGTATTAAGAGTTTAGCAAGATGTTTCAGAAACCGATTTTAAATAAAATTATAGGTCTTGCAGTCATTAGTTAACACAAAGCTTGCTGATGAGGAAGCTTTCAAATGTTTAATTTTTTTTTTTAAATCTATGGGAAAAATGAATGAACCGAGGGGTGGGCGTTCACTGTTGAGCTCCATTTTTGTGCAGTGCCTAAATGACTAAGGTTAAACTCATCTATGTATTTCATCAGTAATGTTAGATGCCTTTGCTCCATTTACAAGTCTTATATTTCCTTTAGGTTTGTTGTAGAGCTGGGTGTGAAACTGAAATTCCTCTTATCTATGTAAAGCTATATATTTTGATACCACAAAAAGCTCTTTGACTGGTTTGCTGTCTCTCTCTACAATACAATGAGCTCAAGTCCAGTGTTATTTTTAAAATTTGATTTAACCTGGAAATGACTATGATAAGTGATTGCACACTCTCAATCTTAATAATAATAATTTTCATCCACCACAGGGCTGCCATAACAGTCTTGACTTCAGTAGGCTATGATGAATTTCACATTTAATGTGGCACCTTAAATTTATCTTCTTAGGTATTCTTTATAGTTAGGGTAAGGGTGTGGTGTTTTCAGTATTTTCATTATACTACTATCATTATAGAGCTTCAGGTTTTGCTGGTTGGGTTGTCTATTGCATATTTTGCCTTATGAGTCAAGGTAACATGCAGTGATTACAAGTTCACTATCCTCCAAATACCTTTTTTTAATGGTTTTGGTGCTTTTGCTGTATTGGTGAAGTGATAATATTGGTAAACGTGGCTCATGTCCCATCTTTATTATGCTTGCACACTTTTACGTTTATTTATTGGTATTACAATATTGGGAAATACAGTAATCATTATCCAAAATAATGGGCCTCCCTTTAAATCTAGAGCATCACTGTTGTAAATTCCCCAGTATAACTGCTAGTTCAGTAACGGTTTATTTAGTTCAGGCATTTGTAGGCACCTCAGGGGTCCTTGTGGGTACCATGGTAATGCTGTTACTTCTGGCCTAACTGCTGTAGCTTCAAATCATTACCTTTAACCTATCTTAAGTTTGCTTCTATGACAGAGGTTGGCTTGTAAATATTTATTATATAATTGTTTCTTTAATTATTACGTAATGCTCTGATGCTAATTAACTTGATTACAATGACATATTTTGTGTAATTGCTGATGTAAGCTGTTTTATGTGCTAGTTATTACTACTCTCTGAAGGTTATTTCAGTTAGTAATATTATTTAAATGTTCCTATAGATTACCAAATGAAAGGATAGGACAGAGGAAAGGATAGATCAGATAAAAAGATACAAGAAAAGACATTAAAACTCCCTAAATTTGTTCAAGTGTCCGTCTTCACTCTCTGACTGGAGTGTGATTTGGATGAAGTGTAACAGCATACAACGCATACAGTCTACAGTTCTAGATATCTCCAATAATCACACTGTGTTCGAATCAAATGTATTTGATACATATCATTGCTATTATATTCATGTTCAAATTCAGTCCTACATTTTCTTCTGAGTTCAAGCCGGTTTGTTTTGTCGTGTTCTTGTATTGCATTTTTTAGCAAGAATTGTTGAACTACATTTGTGCTTGACTCAAGAGTATCTATAATACTCAAATAATATTCAACAAGTTTTTCTAATATATTGTTGTCCTACTTAGTTGGAGGTAGATAGATTTCCTGTCAGTAATATAAGATGTTCTTTTGTGATGCTGTGGTATGGGTGTAACTCTAACCCATCCTCCACTCCGGTCAGAGGAGGTGACAGAGGACTTCAGGGTAGACCATATGTTTGCATTGGTTGTTGTTGCTGCTCTGCTCTGAATACCATCTGGTTTCAGTCTTCAGGAAGAGAGACAAATTAATCTTTAATTTCCTCATAAACACACACCTCCTCCTAAACACTTTACACATTGCAACAGCACTTAAGAGAAGTCAAGTGATTCAACAGAGAATGAGTCATTATGGGGCTACCCATTTATTCAGATTACTTATTTTATATCTGAATTTGGATGACATGGTCACTTGACTTGCATCTTTACTCTTTATCTTATGTTCTTAAGTTTATCTTTTGACAAACCAAGCCCTACTCTAACCAGTGTAACTGTTAACCTATTGCTATCCTGCCATTTAATTATTGACACTACTACTTTTTTCCTGACTATGATGAAATGTTCTTTGTTTGGCCTGTTGTCAATATATTGTCAATATATTGTTGTCAATATGCACTATATATTTGTGTTATTTCTTATTCTCATTCATTTACAGATCCAACCTTATGATAAGATTGCAGCTCGTGGACTTCCTGACAATGTGGCTGACAGTCTGAACAAACTGGTGGTGGTCAAGCTGAATGGAGGTTTGGGTACCAGTATGGGATGTAAAGGGCCCAAGAGCCTGATCAGCGTCCGCAATGAAAACACATTTCTGGATCTCACCGTGCAGCAGATAGAGGTACAATTATTTTTAATCTCTTGGAATATCCTGAAGAACATGTCACATGAAATGCAAAAACAATTGTCTTCTATCCATTATACTGTTATGGTCCAGCTTGATAGACCATAAAAAAAATAAGGGGACAAGTCAACGTTTAAGCCCTAGTTTGCGTTTTGGCATTATCAGTATATCAATAATAATCAATATATTACTGTGGTCAGGTTGTGTGCTGTGGGTGCATGTATAATGCCAAAGACAATCAGTTTGATAATGGTTATGATGAAATATCAATGCTGAAGTGCATATGGAGGGAAGCAAGGTGGCTGTATTGTAGTGCAAGGATGGAGGAGGATCAGAGAGTGAAGGCTGAAGCCGGGTTTAAACTTCCAAGGAACTCACTGGGCCCTTCTGACTCCTGGACACTTCCTGCCCCTGCATCTCAAGCAAAAAGCACAGGTGATAAGGACAAGGTCACATGTAAAACATGGGACTGTAACAATATACATTGGCTTTTTATCTCTGGTAGCTGTGTTTCTATTGTAAAGCCATTCGACAGTCAATATGAAAGTGCAGGCGTGTATAACAGACACTAAATATTTGGTAACTGAAATAGGTTTGTGTTACTTATCTGTATAGCCTGGGCACAGGAAATGCAATGTTCTAAAAGCAAAAGTTGAGCTACCAATCCTTTAAAAACATAAAATCCACCAGTGCAAAATTTGCCTCTAATTAACTGTAAACAATGACAATGTTTTAATGAAAAAACATACCCCACACTTACACAAATACAATTCACAATGCTCTTATTTAATGAGGACCCCCCTGCCTGTTGCTGTGTGGAAAATTGACCTAATTGAGCTGTCATGTATTATGTATACCTTTTGAAAGTAACAGTCAGTTATCCTTTTGTGTACATGAGCTGTCATTACTGCATGTGTCTTCAGTGCTTTGGAAATCCATGCATTTTTAAACAGGAGGTGAAGGTCTTCCAATGAAAGTGTTAGTCATAGAGGATCTGTTACAATGTGGACCTCTGTAGGCTCTCATGAAAAACAGTGGTGCCAGTATGTTGCAGAAGAGGAACCGGTGGTTACAAAATGTGGACTCAGAAAATATTTGTAAATGGCAAAAGTGTTTAGGTGGAGGTTTGGGATCTTCAGCAACTAGCCAAGTATAAATGCATTCAACTTATTATTGAATACAAATGTATTATTATTTATTTAACTGTCTTTATAACAATCAGCTAACATAAATTATTTAAAACATTAAAATGTTTTTACATTTTAAATATTATAGTGTTATTTCTGAAGTTGTTTGAAAGGGTATTTGTTACCTTTTGGTTGAAGTACAAGCTGTTTTTATTGAACTTTGTAAAGTCCACCTTGAACGGAGCTTGCAAAGTCATGGAAGCATAGCATGAGTGAATTACTGTGCATTTCATAACAGCCCCATGGGAGCCTCTCTCTTTCCAGCAGCAGCACCACATTGCACCCTGTGTCCGAGCCACTGCTCTCCATTTTCTGCTCAGGTCTAATCATATTACCTTTGGACTTGGGTAGAGTTTTTAGAAAATGGATGCCAAACATCGTCAACTAAATAAGACTTGGCTCAGGAAGTGTTCACCATGGAGTGAGCGTAACAGAAAAAATATTCAATAGCACATATTACATGCAGAAGCTGCATCAACAGTGTGTTTACCATTTGAATAATTACTGTGAAAATGACAAACTGACAAATTATTCCTTGTGTTTTAGCACCTAAATAAAACCTACAAAACAGATGTGCCACTGGTGCTCATGAACTCCTTCAATACTGATGAAGACACAAAGAAAATCCTGCAGAAGTACACTCACACCCAGGTCAAGATACACACCTTCAACCAAAGCAGGTAAATACTTCACATATGTAACCTTCTAATGTTGGAGTAAGACAGTTATTTATATGTACAATAGTGGTACATGAGTATAATATTGTCTTTACTCTGTGTTAAAAACCCTTTGAAAAAGGAATTGATTGGTTCTGAATGTACCAATACCCGCATGTCAGATATTTGTGTTGGCATGCAATATTCATCAGCATTATGAATGGGAAAAACTGCAAATAACTGTAATGATGTCTAATAGACATATAAAGGTCAACATGACCTAAGCCAACTGCTCTATTAGTAAAGCTGTAGGGATTAGTAAAGAGGCTTTTTTGACAGAAAATGCACGTTTGGGTACGATGCCAGACACCAGTCGATGGACCACAGCAGAGCTGACCTTGTTAGCCACTTCCTTTAGTGCATCTGTCACACAGTATCATGTCACGTGTGTATGGAAATTCCGATACTGTTACTGTTTATAAGGGCTTAGTTAAAATTTAGTTTCAACTTTATTTCATGATTTTGAAGTATTTTGTTTTTTGGTATTGTGGGCCACTTGTGGTATGTATGAAACATGCACGTGTTAGAGAGGGCTCACTATGCAAGGTATTTGTAAAATTTTGATAGAATCCTTACTTTGTCCTAAATGTACAGATGAGGAAATAGTTGCAGTAAGTAACATGATTTTGAAAGCAACAGTTCAAGGATTACTAAAGGAAGTTCTCAATTTTAAGGAATAAGCCATTTAAAAATGAATGTCTGTACACACTTGTACAGATTTTATCTCAAATTGCACATTGCAACATTTTTAGGTTTATGCATCTGTTACCCAACCATTCCCTGTACCATCCACCTGTCATATGTGGGTAGACAATAAAAAATGTATAAAAATATGTGATGTTTGAAGTCATAAACGATTAATTCCATATAAATCATATTCTATATAACCTAAACTGATTGCAATTTGCAAATCAATAAGATAAATATGTTTTTGATCTGTTGATTTCAAGTTATATTTTTATATAATTTTTTTCCTATTGTGTTTTTTTTCACTATACAGTTTATAAATGTGTAAAAAAAAAAACTTTGTTTTTTCCTTGCAGGTATCCTCGTATTAACAAAGAATCACTCCTTCCTGTCGCCACTAACATGAGCATGAGTGGGTCCAGTGCAGAGGGCTGGTACCCCCCGGGCCATGGCGACATCTATGCCAGTTTCTACAACTCAGGTCTTCTCGACCAACTCATTGCAGAAGGGAAGGAGTACATCTTTGTGTCCAACATAGACAACCTGGGAGCCACCGTGGATCTGCACATCCTTCACCACTTAGTCACTCAGCCCAATGGAAAACGCTGTGAGTTTGTAATGGAGGTGACGGACAAAACGCGTGCTGATGTTAAGGTACAAAACACTCTACTTTTTAAAGGTGCACTGTGTAACTTTTGTAGGTAAGCTTCAGCACCTGCTTTTCTCCATGGAGTTGTTATTGCTTTGCATGGAATTTTCAACAGTATGGCATTAAACTGATCTTTCTTGCATTTATTTAGTTACAAGTGTTTATATGGCCAAAATTCACTTGAAAAACACAAATTCTTAGATAAGTTTAATGGCATACTGTAGAAAATTCCTGGCAACATAATAATATCTCCATGGAAACAAGCAGGTGGCGTATCCCAGAAAAGTTACAAAAAGTGCATTGTTAAGTAATTAAAATACTGTTGTTTACTTGATTTCGTATTGTTCCTTGTTTTATACATACAGGGTGGTACATTGATTGAATATGACCGTAAACTGCGCTTGCTAGAGATTGCCCAGGTCCCTAAAGCACATGTGGATGAGTTTAAATCTGTCACAAAGTTTAAAATCTTCAATACCAACAATTTGTGGATTTCTCTGCCAGCTATCAAGAGGCTGCAGGAGCAAAATGCAATGGACATGGAGATTATCGTGAACCCTAAGGTGAGTGTTAATGAGCTACAGTAACCGTTAACATTGCAACATGTTTAAGACTTAATTACCTCTATGGAGGAAGTGCATCGATAACATTCTTGTGACTTGCTCTATGACAATAATGCTCAACATCCACTGAGTTAAAAATAAATTGCCACTACTACCAGTTTTACTTGTAGAACTAATTAGATCTAGAGTCTTTCAACTCACTGACCCATATTGTTTATAGTACTATAAAATAATATTCTGTAACATGTCATCCGGATAGAAATCAAGAAACTCCCTATTTCTTAGATAATCCCTTATGGTGAGTCTGCTATATTCTTGGAGTGACAGGCCAAATTGTAATGAAACCACTACCACATTGCTTTCATTGTGATTTATTTATTTTTACAGGCGTAAAAAGCTCTAGGCGCTAATTTTCATTATCTGATATGACTTTCTGGTGATGACCTGACACCTGAATGTTTTCATGGAAATAGAAAGTTAAAAGGATCCTTCAGACATTCATATATTTTTCAAGAATAGCATTTCTATAGAAACAAGCTGAAGACACTCCTCTAGCCAAGTAAGAATTAGTTTTATGGAGATGCAAGTCTTTAAGTACACACGTTTTGCCAAATTTTTCACTACAATAAAAAGATTTTTTTAAATTAAAAGGTATGTGATGGAGATTTAAAATACTAATAATGAGTAATGTCAAGACATTTTGCCTGTATACGTAGCTTGTGTTTTTCCCTTTATTGTACTTTGAAACCAGGAACATCAGGATTACAGACAATAAATTGTGCAATATGTTACTACATAAGGTTCACCTCTGTATCTTTGTAACTTGTAACATTTCTTTTTTTCAGGCTGATTTTAGAATTTATTTTCTCTATTTTTGTAATTTTCAACAGTTCTTCACTTTTGCCTAATGATTACACATTCAATAAACAGTACTTATATTTATGTAATAAAGTAAAAATAAAGTAACTTTTATTCGAAAATTGGGTCACAATTACATGTTGCTTCACCCAACTAAATCCCTAGCTCAGTGGATGAACAATAGAATGAATTAGATTTATAGAAAACAATCAAACGTTCAAATCTCCAACATACTCACAGAATTAATATTACATACTGCATGTATGCACATGAACCAAAAGAAACACTTTACTACAGTGACTCAAACGTCTCTTCTGACAGACTCTGGATGGTGGTCAGAACGTGATTCAGTTGGAAACCGCTGTGGGTGCAGCCATCAAATGTTTTGACAATGCCCTCGGCATTAACGTGCCACGCAGCCGCTTCCTCCCTGTGAAGACCACTTCTGATCTGCTGCTGGTCATGTCCAACCTCTATAGCCTGGACGCTGGCTCTCTGACCATGAGCCCTAAGAGAGAGTTCCCCACTACACCACACGTCAAGCTAGGCAGCTCCTTCACTAAGGTACGCTCCACATAGGCAATGATACAGTATATGCTGTTTTGAACATGTAGTGTTTATGTTAAAGCCCCATTATGTTACATTTCTAGTGGTTGGCAATCAACCTGTTTGTCTTCATTAAGTTAAAGTCATGCTTTGAAACATTCAAGGCAAACCAATAACATCTCCATAAAGACCAACATGTTTTGACGGGATTTTTTAATGAAATACAAAACTCTTGTAATGACTTTATCCTTTTTATTTTAGTGTTATTTATTGAAATATTACACAGCGGGGCTTTAATGTTTCTTGATTTACACAGTAACCAGTGATTTCATGTCTTGGTTATCTGGTGTTTTCAGGTTCAGGAATACTTGATGCGTTTTGAGAGCATCCCAGACATGCTGGAACTCGACCACCTCACAGTGTCTGGAGATGTCACATTTGGTAAAAATGTTTCTTTGAAGGTAAGTCTTAATACAAGACTTGTATATTTTGTATATAAAAAGAAAATTTCTTTACATGTTGAAAGCTGTACAATATTGTTGGCTATATTAGCAGCTTCTTTGTGATGGGAAATAGCACTTCTATATTTATTTTTTTGTCTTTGTGTCAAAGTTAACCAAAACCCTCATCCTCCTTCCAGGGAACTGTCATCATTATAGCCAATCATGGAGATCGAATTGACATTCCTGCAGGTTCTATGCTGGAGAACAAAATTGTTTCTGGAAATCTGCGGATTCTGGATCACTGAGTTCCTTTAGAACCCATCCCACAATGCACCTGTAACATGTGACCAAGCTGGCTTTATTACTCATTGTACATGTGAAATCCCTGTTTGTCATAAAATGAATGCAAATAGGATGTAGCAGCACAAGCAGTGCTTTGTTTTGCTAAATTTACTGCCACCTGCAGGATCAAGTTAAAAGTAAGAAATAGTATAAATTACAAAATGTCCTTTAGCAATTACATCTGTCAAAAATGTTACAATTAACTGTACCTACTTCATCTGATAAACATGTTGATGCTTGAAAGTAGAACATGGTTTTGTTTTGTTTTTCACTTTAGGTACTTTTATTTGACTGTTTACACAGTACCGCTAATGTGACCTTCCATGAAACAATGAACTGTCTAATGTTAACACTGATTGCATACAACATCCCTGAGCCACAACAGAAATCAGTGTACTGTTTTGTTTAACAGTATTATTCCAAAGAAGTCATGGCAGCATATGTTTATATACTATGGCTCAGTAATGTACAACTGAATATTTTGCTATGTATTGTCACAACAAGACAATGAAGTTTGTCAAATCTGAAGAATTGTGAATGTCCAAGGTTGTATTCACATTGTTTTGTCATGTCTGTATTTGTTATTATAAAGGACCGAAACAAATGCACCTTCTAAATGGGCATTTAACAAGAATACGCCTTAATGAAAATCACAATTCACTAAAATTGGTACTTGAACTGAAGATTTTTGGAAAATTTTAAGATTTTCAAATATTACTGCTTGTGCCATAGATGGTAAAAATGAAGTCCATTTGTTTAATGCCTGTTAGCCTCTATGGCCTGTCACCTGTCCCCTTGTATTGTGTCCTTATCAAAGATATGTTATCGGTCAATGTAAAATTTCTCCAAAAAGTGAAGGCCTTCTTTACTGTATTTGGTTGTGTCAGTTTAAGAGAATCCCTGCTGTGCATTCCTTTCATGTTTTATCATAGTCAGAGTTCACCATGACCTTCATGTTGTCTAATGCCTCCATGTCAGTATCACTCTGCGTTAGTTCATTTAGGGACAACACAAGAAGGTGCAATATTTTATGCAGTGTTGATTTGAGACACTTGACCGTACTGATGCAGAGCATGGTAAAAGCAATGTGTGCTAGAGATATGTGGAGCGAAAGTCTGAAAGCAATAAGTGTTGAGTGTAATGTCTCAGCCCAGCTCTGGACCCTCTGAGTTGAATAAAGTGCAATATGAACACTTGTGTTTTGTCATCTGTGTCAATATAATGTTGTATTGCAATTGTATTTTAATGCTAATGTAAGAACCCAGATTTAAACCAGCAATCTTTAGTTTCTGGACTTTAAATGGGGCATATGTGGTTTGCACATGCTTCTTTTAAAAAAGCTACAATCACAACTGAAACTGGATTGCTAGGCCTTAAATACATGTTCTCATTCTCAGTATATGGACAGGTCATGCCTCATGTGAAAGCTCAGAACTTAATTCATTCACTGAGCTGCACAGGCTGCACTAGCACTGATTCATGATTAGCTGTAGGTGCTGGGGTTTAGGTACTTAAGAGTTTTTAGAGAGAGTCCGATTAAGTTTAAAGTTTAGATCAACTGAATTTAGATTTTTTTATGACCACAACAACATTGTGTCAAATGTTTTTTTAATTAACAGTTGCTATGTTAATTCTTATTTGTTAGACAGTATTTGATCTGACATGAAGCCATTGTCAATGTTTAGGTAGATCTGAAAAATTGCACATTATTGACTTTCAGACTGAAGAAGAGCCTGGACCTTAGCTGTTGGCAATACTGAACCTACTAAAATCAGAAACAATGCAGTGTAAATTCAATGTAAAATAAATGAAACCATGACTCCAATTAATTCACTTTTTACACTTTATTATTTAAAGTTGTTACAAAAGTGTATGCTTCAAACATTCTTTTGCCTGTAAGCACAAGAAGAGGAGGGACAGTGCAGGAGCAGGTGGACTATGGCAGGACAGATAGAGACAGACATGGACAGAACAGTACAGTGAAGAAGCCCTTTATCATGTGCCTTCTCCACAAAACAAACAAAAGCACTGACCTTTGTGGAGGTATCCTCATTAGACCTTAGTTATATCTGTATGTGATTATTCAGATGGGCGTTACGTTTCTCCCTGAGGTGAGCTGTGTGTTGCAGTCCGAGTAAAAGGAAGACCTTGGTGAAAACTGTGTGGACAGACAAACATTCAAACGATCTTCATTGATGTATGTAGCCTAAAATGCACACTCCAGCTGGCTGTGAACATGTGACCTACTAGGAGGTAAAGGCTGTTTTGGAGGGAAGGCTTCTACAGTGCGTGTCTCAGTTCTATGCACCTGATCTTGTTAACAAGCATGCAAAATATCAAGACTGCTACAACTTTTAAAAGGTGTTGGTGTTCTCGTTTCTGCCAAATAATCAAATTACTATTATGTCTAAAATAATTTTTATTGTTAAAATTGTTTTGCACTCCCAAAGTGTGACTTGATGGTCCATATACATTCACTCCACACTGATAGGCTACATCTGTAGCCACAGCTGCCCTGGGGCAGACTGACTGAATTGAGGCTGTGAACGCAGCAGTCCTGACATTTTGTATTTTGTGATGAGCAGCTTGTTTCATTTGAGACAAATTTGCATATAGACTGAAAACATGTTTCCATGTTCAAAGTAAGTGTGTCTACTATTTTATGGCCATTGGAGTCTTCTAATATAGTATTAGTGCAAATATGATCAAAAACAGCTAGTGTCTGAATGCTGCTGTTATTACTGGGGAAGGGCACTATCAGATCTGGCTTGGCTTGATTAGGGTTTATTTAGGTTTGCAAGCCACAATTTTCAACTGAAAAAAGCAAGGATCTGCCTCCATATCAGTGTGATCTTGATGTTTATAATAGTCTTGCTACTTATCTGCATTGTTGTGGCTGATCTGTTATAACATTCACTTATCCACACAAAGTTTCTTCTTTAAAGGGCTGGCTGCTTACACAGATGCCTTATTTTCCCATAATGCTTTGGGGAGATTCCCAAATGTATTGCTTTGAATGTGAAAAGGCCAATGATGCTTGCTTCCTAATGAGAGGAAAGTCAAACTGAAGAGGTTACACACAATACAAAGTCACACCCGAGATAGGACAGGGAATAAATACGACACAGGTCTCAGATCAGTGGATACGGGACAGACAAACATAGAAACATGATCCTCAGACCAAACACACACCATCTACTTTCAAATCCTCAAGGTCTGAGGGATAAAGGCTGTTCTCTGGATCATAAATAAACATCAGCTCTGACACAGGTACACAGGGAAATATTGCAACAGGAACATAAACACTGTATGTTTGCCCTACAGATGTACAGATGAATACTGTTAAATGAAACATCATTTTACGCAGCAGTGTTCTTGGTTTGGTTTCTGTGTCTGGTTTCATGAAAATATAGACATCTTTTCTTGTCATGTGTGAAAAAGCAATACAAAGGTCACTTAAAAATGAGAGACAAAATGTCATTTTCTGTTACTGCAGAAAAAGCCTTTAATCACACAGTTAGTGTTAAAGCGGTCACTGCCGCATGCTCCTCCCACACAGCCATTAGTCCAGAGGTCCCTGGAAGATGAGTCTAACGTAGCCCTGTTCCCCGCTCAGCTGCTGCGCACAGAACGGGCAGGCTGCATGGAAAGTGTGCGTGCCGTGGGGCAGAGGGATCTGGCTCCAGAAGGACGCTGTCTTCTCAGAGCAAACATGGCCGCAAGGGTTAAAGGCGTGAGTGGGCGGAGCAGCATCCACGTAGAAGCCTGCCTCACAGCCCAACCAAAGCGGGACATAAGGACCCTTGGCCCGGCACATGGGGCACTCTCGGAGGCGGCCCTCTCGCCCGTCCCGCTCCTCAAGATGGCCGCCCCAGCTGTGATAGCCATGCACATGGCCGCACTGCAGATAGACCCAGGGCTGCTTCTCATCAGGAGTGTCCTTGCGTCGCATGGAGGGAAAGGCAAGAGTGTTGAAGCCCACAGGACATTGTGGACGTGCTGCATTGATCTCTTGTCGTAGCGCCTCCAAGTGTTTGAGTGTGGGAGTGCGTGCCAGTCCTTCAGCTGTTCTCCACAACAGCGTTGCACCACACAAGTCAATAAGGGAACCATCCACCAGCTCCTGGCTCTCAGTCTCCACCTAAAGGACACAAATACAGGGTTCTAGGTAGTAGCTTAAATTAAACCACACTAGGTGGCAGTGTAACACAGAATTTTATACATGACATGGCCCAAACTTTTGCCATACATAACTATAAGGAAGTGCCCTGTGGCAATCGTAAAATTAAGCCCAAAATTTAACATGGCTACTATATAGGTCAGTCAGACGTTGTAACACACAGCACAATGCAGCAGAACAAACTACAGAAACTTTTTGACTAAAGTTTTTCCAACAAGAATTGTTTTAATTTGGTTGCAAATTCTTGACCTTAACACCCACTAAAATCATTACAGGCTTACAGACATCATTCATTTTCAAGCAGAAAGTGTGTTTACTGTGAAAACTGGTACTAACTCAAAATAATCTCATGAGTGAAGGCCTATTAAGCCTTGCATTATCTGCAACTGCCACTGTGCAGTCAATAAAACTGAATAGTCCCATGAAGCTCAATTGACCATACATAATTATACCAGGCTTTCCTCCTCTGCTAAGTATCTAAATTGTCAATCAACTGTAAAATATGAATAGGTTTTAATAGTGCCACATAATCCACACATGGCTCCTCTTGATAGCATAATGTGCAGTGACTGAGAGCAGTGCTGAGGAGACAGAGGAGCAGGTGGGACTAGTGATAACAGCATGGATTTATTCAGTGGGAAAGAAACAGTCTCAGTCCTCTGACACAGAACCAGCTGTCCAGAGTACTTAAGGTGTGAGCGCCCTCTGCTGGCTTTGATGGAGCAGTGTTTCAACCTGAATGACAAAGACCTTGGTCACACTACAGATACACCATTGTATTAACCCTTGAGGAGTTTTATCTCAAGAATTAATGTTGTGGTTTATGTTTTGGTGTATAAGCTTCCTGGAGACTCGATATATCAGGAACAACCAAGTGCATAATAATGAAAGTAAATAATTTGGCACACACTGCAATGGGATAAAGCAATGTGGAGATGTCTTGCCCAGGAACAGAAGAAAAGGTGAGGTTTAAACTCTGGGTATTTGTATTGTGCCACTGTCAGCCTAAGCAAATAGAAATAAGAATAAAAGAGAAAAGTGAAATACTAGTCTCACCATCTTTCCTCTCTGCTGTGCTGAGCGCGTCTCTCTCAGTGTGAACACATTTCCACAGACAGAGATCTCTCTCCAGACGCCAGGCTTAGAGTCCTGACTGAAGCCATTACGAGGGTGCATGACTAACACACCGTTTGTGGTCAGTCCATCCATTTGACCGTCTGGTGTCTTCCACTTAGCAGCTTTCTCCTAAAAACAAGAAGTAGGGGATAACAGTTTCATCTGAGACATATGCTGAAATATTTCTGAACTAATCATCAAGTAATAACTAACCCCGAGGAAGATGTTCTTGGAGGAGTCGAAGCCCGCGGCGTAGATGCGGGCGTTGTAAGGCGGTGTGCGCTGGCACATGATACGACAGGCAAATCTGGAGATGGTGCTTTGGACTGACTGAGTGTCTGCGTTACTCTGACTGCCCGCGATAGTGTCCGTCACCACAAAGTCTATGGGGCTCTCTGTGGATCGTCCAATCTGAAACAACATGACATAAAGTAATGAGTTAAACATAAAACACATAATCTATGCACTACTCAAGGAAGTGTTTGTCACCTGGAACATGTCTGTATTGCTGTCATGTGTGTACTCCACCACCACCGTCTGGGCTCGGGACAGGGTGTAGGAAATGCTGTGCTGGTCTTTGTTGCTTATGGCCTGCGGAATAAGAAAAGGTTAATATTGTTGGGGATTAAATAGTCAAAAACTCAGGAAAATTTGACATCTGTTGAATGACTTACAAAAAACAACAGACAAAGGAAGGGTGGAGTTAGTTCCTGTAGTTCTTCACTTTTAACATCTTTTAGGTCAGTTAGGACCACCCACAGGACAGTGAGTGAGGGACAATCACTCTTCCAGACTATTTCAATTTAAGTAGCTAAAGCTTGATTTATGGGTACAAGTGAATATTTCCAGATAATCCATTAAACACCAGTGTTGTTAAAAATAACAGCCACTTTCTTTTTCCTATTCCTTACTTAACAAAGACAGTGTGACATATCTATTGTATCACAAACTAGAAACAGTGGCTGCAATATAATAATTCTACGCAAAGCTTCTTAGAAACACAAGCTCTTTTCTAGTTCCTATTGGAGTGTGCGGGTAGCCGTGTGGGTCACCTTGGCTGCTTGTGGGGAGCAGGCGACGTGGACTGTGCTGGGCTTCACTCCATTTGCTTTGGGTCTTTTACATAGTGCAAAACGACTCTTGCGTCTGCCGCGGTCCCCGTTCGGCAGTGACCCATTGTACCTGCAAAGACAGACAAAAACACTAGTGTTATAAGCAACTGTACAAGAAAGAAGGTCACTGTGGAACAGGCCCTGAGCGTTATGTGTGGGACCCACACAATGCTCCCACGATACTTTTCTCAAATGTGTTTTACAAAAGCACGTCGTCATAAACAACACAGGGGCCCAAACATAAGCCCAGAGAAAATAAACATGCACAAAGTGGCATTTAGGGCGATGGAGACGTGGGGATAAATAGGCCTTTCCTCACACAGAAGGAAGCTCTGTGACGTGAACCACAGTCGCACTATAACACTTTGTCTCTGAGGGTGTCACTGAATAACCCAGTGCCAACACAAGGAAGCTAAGATTAATGGTCTCTATGAACAGAAATGATGAACAATAAAGCTTTTAGAATCAAAGCTTGTAATTCCTTATCACTGAGCTAACCCAGGCTAAAACTTGAACTAGACTTGTATTAAATGTCTTTTGAAATACAACTCTATCTGTACCATCATATGCTCTTTCAAACTGCAAGACAGTGTAAGCTGCAAGGCCGTCCAGCCGGCAGCTAAATGTTTGTGTTTGCTTGGTGAGAGAGCAGATCTGTGGGGATCAGACGAGTGCTCGGAGGGTTTACGAGTAACCATGGTGAGCAAGCAGGGCTGCGTCAACGTTTGGGACCAGTAACCATGGCAAGAGCGTCACCATAGAGAAGTTTAGGCCTTATTCGGAGAGAGGGCAGAGCGAGGCATTGGAAACAAATCAAAGTATTGCTGGCAGCACAAAGTCAGGGTCCCATGAGTGTGTGCAAGTGTATACATGTATCCAAGTATATCTAGTGTGTGTTGTGTAAATGGTTGCTGACCCGAGTGGGGAAAAACCTGGTCAAGGCAGGCTGAGACACAACTTTAATAGCACTCAGTTAGGCAACAAGCAGTGTGCTCCCTGCAAACAGTAGTAAAATAATGTTGGGCATACGTCAGTGGCTGACCAACTAATGGTAAGACTATAAAACGTATAAAGACAGGTTGTGTGGATAATTGCTGCAATATGACTCACTGTAGTATGTGAGCATCAGGGGGGCGAGAGAACGCTTGAGTCCAAAAGTTACTGTTATATCAGAAACAAACAGTGTAGTTTTGCACATGATGCACTAATTTGAAGATAACAAAACAAAGTACTGTTTGTTGACAGAAATGTCCTGCCTGTAACTGATAATAATTGAGGGCTTCACACAACACAAGTCAAAGCCCTTTCCTTCCTGAAGTACAAGAGGCCAAATGTCGAAATACCTGCAGTAAGCACTAGAAAAGTTATATTCAATATGCACTCTTTAACACACTTTAATATTTCCTCTGACTTACAAGATTTGGGCATCACAGGAATAGCTACTATCCTGATGTAAAAGCTGAGAACAGCAGCTGGGGTCTCCCCTATAAAACTATGGAGCTGTTCATGGCATTTTTCCACTGAGCAAAATTTCCACGCTCATGTCCCACAGTGCAGCTGTGGAACAGCACATCAAAACAAACTGTGAGTCAGATTTTGAAGCACCAGAGGAACTGAAAAGTGTCAATCTAATGTGTGTGTGTATATAACATGGTTTAAGGTTCAGGTATGGCTTAAAATAGGTTCCGCTTAGGATTTAGGTAAAGGCTAGCGAATATGATTATGTTATCAGTTTCCAGTAAGTCAATGTAAATAAGCTTGAAAACCCATGTGAATGTGTGTGTGTGTGTCTTTCCGACTGGTGCATTCCTCGCTGGAGAGGGGCGGGGCAGGGAGTGGAATAGGCCTTTGGGGACTGCACAGGAGATAGACAGTTAAAGGAAGTACTTGAGCATCATGTGAGAGCCGGGGGTGTGTACGACTTCTATGACTTCCACACACTTATGACATGAGGGGAGGGGGTGTTATAAAACTACAGCACCCCAAATCCAACCTACCCCAAAATTTTAAAAAAGTTCTACTGCATCAAGAAAGTCACCTTCCCTAAATATACTGCCAAGACTGTGACAACACACATTAAAATCAGTCTGCGTTCTGTTTCAACTATAAAAAATGTTTTAACTTGGTTTGACTTAGAATCTAATGAATCAATCACTCAGTTACTTGTTGTGGTGTGTTAATTGTGTGTAATTGTCCAAATGGTGCCCAACAGTAATGAACTTCCAGAGCTAATCATCAAATGAGCCTCTTACCCAAGCACAAGGAGCTCCCCGTACTTGACTGGCACTTTGGTGGAGGCGGTGGTGGAGATGGTGTCCTCTGGGGAGTACATCGGGACGAGCCTCTAGAGGGACGGAACAGGAAGAGCAGGAGCTGCCTCAGGGAGGGGGCACGAAGGGCACAGGGGGCAGAGGGGGAGAGGAAGAGGGGGAGGGTCAGCTCAGCCTCAGCTCATGCCTCATACTGGTCCTGCCCTGTAAAGTGACAAAGACAGGATTACCACCAGATTAGTCACTCCACACAGTTACACTAAGTGGAAATTATAGGCTTCAGATACAGTTGCGGCCAACTGAAATGTAACCAGAATAGACTTTAAAGTACAAGTACACAAAATATCTTTTTAGTAGTAGTAGTTAGGCAAGGTCTGCTAGATATTCAGATTTTTGCAATGTATTAAACTTCAATCAACATGCTCCACTGCTAATATGCAAGGTCATTTTAAATTATTTTGATGAGGCAACACTACCGTTTTATTTTCAATAATTAAACAACTTAACTGTAAGTTTACATTAATTTAAATCTGAATAAAACTGAGAGTGAATAATACTAAGGGTTTCCAGGGCGGCACATCAGAGTGTATCCTGCATTTAAAGTGAGTGCACACATCACAGCTCTTTCCACATTTATAGGTATAAACCATCTTGTGTTCTGTTTTATAGCATTAATTAACACATAGGTTTATATTTAGCATCGCACCACAACTTCAGTGGAGTGGTGTGAGCAGTAAACTCTGCACTCATGTGATGTGAGGCAGGAGTGTTAATGTGTAACAGAGGAGATAGTTAGATAAATGTATTTATGTTAGAACACAGTACACCTCACAGGTTAAAAGACAGTAGGCCAGTACTCTAGTCATGTGGATATGTTTTATTGGTTAATTATATTTTGGCCATGAATAAAATGCCCTTTGAAGCTAATAATAGAGCCATAAGGAAACACATAAACATTTACTGAAGTAGCTTTAATTCAAGTTAATAACTTTTTGTTTTTATTTAGTTTTTTTCTTCTTCCCATTTTGTTACTATCTTATACAGATAAATGGGTGGATTTAATAATACTTTCTGCAGTAAAACATATTTGGCTGCAAACATTGAAGCTCGGATCAATTAAAGTCAATTTCAAGCCTCCAGCAGCACTGTTTTTACAAATAAGCTCTTCAGATTAAAATTAAATTTTCAATTCCTAGGTTATATCACTGCCCGTTCTAAGTAAAGGTGATCGGACATACACCACCCTGCTTTTCACACAGTTCATTGAAGTAGTGTATAATTAATAGATGTTTGTTTTGGGACAAGCTGCCAGAAGCTCAATAAAACTAATTGCTAACAGACACACACGCACAGCTTTCAACATGTTCTTATCTTGTCTGAGATTATATGTAAAAATAACATTGCTTATAATTATAATAAAGTCAATGCAACTTGTTGCATGGACAATCACTTGAACTCCCGATAGCCTCATAAATGCCCCACAAGTACAGCACTCCCGCAGGTGTGTGTGACTGATCCTGACTAAGCTCTCGGCCTACGACACACAGTTCAAGGTGGACTTGTGCCAACTGTTGCTAAGCTCCTGAAATACACAAGATTGAAACACAATAGACGCCACGCTCAAAAGAGGACGGAGCTCTGAGAAAGGTTTACGGCGAGAAGGCACGGACCGAACACCACACCTGCTGTTTTCCCCGACCACAGTAGAACAACAGACGAGCGGCGAATGTGCGTGAAATTATATACATGCAAACACAGGAAGCACCGGATCACAAGAACAAATCAGGCTGTCAGACTGGGGAGAAAAGGATGGTCAGCTTTACCATATGTCAGAAAAATTGACATTCTTCTATCAATTTAAAGCCTAAGCTGAAACCTGTGCATAATAATGTCAAGAACCTCTTACGGTTTGCGCATCACTGTGAATGTCACTCATTCAGAAAGGTTGAGGTTGACCATTTGGAATGTGCATTTGGAAAAGCGCAAATGTTTGAGCCTAAAGCTGCAACAGAGAAGGCTTCATCAACAAAATAGCATATTGTCACAGAGAGGGTTTAGCACATATTACCTCCTAACATTAAATGCTACTCTTGTAAAATAATCTAACAAACAAATTGGAGTCCTGTAGTGGTTAATAACTACCTTTTACTGGAGATGGGAAATTCCAGGGCTGAAATCAGATAAGTGATTCTAGTGAAGTTCTAAGTGTTGTTTAAAAACTCAGTAGAGCACTTCCTGTATTACCACATGACATCACAACGTGGAACAGAGTTTTCTGCTTCTGCCTAAATATGCAGGATTTGTGTGTGTTAAGCATGTGTGAATGAAACAAAATTAAACATATAATAGCATTATATTGGCCCTTCAGCACATATGCAAGGCCTGTAAATCCTGTTACTTTTTGAGCTAAACATGCCTACTGTTTTGTAGGCCTAATATTATGGTAGCTAAATGCCAATAAACCAATGTAAAAATACACTGTTTTGCAGAGCTCAACATCTCTTTTTCAAACATATGTCTTGTTTACATTACTATAATGATCAACAAAAGATGACCTGAATGTTTTTTTCATCAATGGGGTCAAAGTCTGAGTAATAGCTATCTATAGCAATGGTTTTACTTCAGGCACTAGTGAACAAAATGGGTCAGAAGACGTCAACAAGTCTACCACGGTCAACACAAGACTCCCATGTTAAACTGTATATGCCTATATGTGTAAAAAAACAACAACATGCAGGTAGAGGTGTGCACAGCTGAGAGTGGCTGCTGCAGGCATGAAGACTTCAACCTGTGGCTCATGTGTCAGTTACAATAGCTTCACTAACAATACTCCACACAAACCAGACTCTGTACTACCATGCTGAAGTTGTCCCGTGGGACTTCAAACCCAATTTCCCACACAGAAAGACTAGAAAAGGAGCTTTATGGATTATTTTTACAACATAAAAGAATAATTGTAGTGGTTTTACTTCAGAATATGGAACTAAAATTGGGCTTCAAACAAAAAAAAATTGTATTGTGTATTGTGTATTGCAAATGCAATTGGATTTGCACATAATATATGTTTAAAAATTGGATTCTGTCCAAACTGCTCATTGTAAACCTTTGAGAGAAGACTCAAATATGAACTGATGAACTGAAGAATCACATGCATTTCAGAACATGTTAGAAGTCTATTATTAATTAATTATAGATTAATTATTAATTATAGTTACAACATGTATAAAAATACAATACAGGAAACTTTGTCACTATATTACTTTTATTACCTAAATTGCAGCCTTTGCAATTTAATAATTGCACCAACTCAAATTGTGATTTTGATTTGATTGTGAAAGACTGTGCAGAATTACATTAGCAGCTTTAAAAGGTGTTTCAACAGGACAAAAATTCAGATTAAGAGCAGGAATATAAAAAGTAAAGTTGTAATGACACTGATTGAGATGGAGGATGAGGCTTGGCTCTGGTTCTTCTTGTGGTTGCTGTGATCTCAGTCAGAGTCTTTTATCTCAAAGGTCATGAGACACCTCGCGGCAGATAACAGGACATGAGTGTGTGTTTTCTAGTACAAATAAACCTTTCATGTTTGCCATGTTCATTGGAAGGAAACCTTTAAGACACAATTTCTTAGGTATTTATTATATCTTGAACTTTGCCCAAAATAAGATATACAATTTTCTTTATTCTCAAGTAGAACACTGGAGAGCCAGCCACCATTATGATTATGAACAGTGATGAACAGAATCAATTAAAATAAAGAGTAAACTAAACTTGCTAAACTTGCAAAATAATACAAAATAAATGTAACTTCTACTATTTGGAAACCATGGTGGTCCTAAATTCTCAATCTGAAATGCACAACAAAAGAATTAATCTAAATCTTGTTAAGCAGTAGCCAGACAAGCTCACTCAGCTGACCTAGCAAAAGGTTTTAGCTAAAACATCCCCAACAAACCTTTCTTTGTTAACTACAAAATATCTCACTGTGACAAGCTAGTTACTTTGCAGAGATGTCAAATTTACATTAATTGTATTATTGGAATGGTCTTTATGTTTATATCTAGAACACCATCTATTCAAATGGGTTGTGATTTAGGCCAATAAATTAACAAATGCACCTGTCAAAGTGATGCTAATAAGTGATCAATCTTCAGTGGTAACAGGAGCTGTGTGTGGGGGCAGACTCCAGCACATCAATACATCAAGCATTTAGCTCAGTGACAAACAGCAGCTGCTGCAGAGAGATGCAGACGGCTCACACCAAAACTAGCCCATTTATGCTGATTCACATTTCAACGCAAGATCACATTTTTTATTTACTTATTTTGTTTTTATTTCATGATCCTAATTAGGACAAAAGTATCAAGATCACAATATTGGTCAAGACAATAATCTATATTGCAAAATTTCACCCTTCAAATTATTGAGTTAGAAAGTATATTAAAATATCACGTAATAACATTGATATCATAGTACTAAATGGTGATTTCGCATATTACAATATTTTCCAATACTGCACAGCCGTAATACTTGTTGTAAACATATGGCTTTAGAGAACTAGAAGTATCTGCTTCTTCTGAGAGATCACACTTCAGTGTGATTGGCCGTTTACTCAGGACATGATGGAAGTTAACCGATAGGAGGAATGGGTGGGGCAAAATGGATCCCATGAAGCACTGAATCATGATAAAACAATCTGTAAAAAGGTTGTAAATCACAATTCCACATGACCACTCAAAAGAAAAAAAAAATTCCAGTGGCAAAATAAGGATCAGAAGTTCCTCAGTAAACCATGTGGTAGACTACAATAGGTCACTGTTAATAGACCATTTGTTATCGATGATTTAGGACAAAAACAAAAACATAAATTATTCATAAAGCAGTCATTTAGCCTCAGCCACAAGGACAGAGACACAGCATTCACACGACAGGCTGCTGCTGTGCCTTTATTGTGCTTTTCCAAATATGACTAAACACAGGCATAATGCTTCAGATCATGGGGAAGTTTTATGGAAAGCAGAGGAGGTCAGGCCTGACCCTAAACCTCAGCTTTACCAGTGGAGCTCATTTAAAACACGCTTATATCTTAACTGCACTCAATAAAAAGGCTAGACACGTGTTAACCCTGCAAATTATGGTCAAGTTCTTCCGTTGGAGAGTGTGGGAGGCATGCACACATCTGGCTGTTCCAATTCACATGGAGA